ATCATTTGTTTCACACCGTGTGGAATTTAAAGATGTGTGCCTTACACCCCCCAAATTTCCCCGCCCAGCAAGCCGGGCTGGGGAATACTAGGAATTGAAGTCCACACATCTTAAAGTTCCCAAGGTTGAGAAACACTGCATTATACTAAAGTGCAAAGAGACCAAATTGAGGCACAAGACAATGGGTGAGCTTCTGTAAGTGTGACTGAACTTCCCCTGTTGTGGAATGCGGAGGTCCACAGGGAGAGCAACTGATACCATATGCATCATGACGCCATTGCCCCAATGTTGCAAATTATGAAATTTGTGTCAGTCGACTGATACAAATGATGTAATTCACTTTATTTGTGTGATGCCATTGTGGCTTTTATTAAATGCCTATGCTCTGGAGGGGCAAGAGGAGGTTTGAAGCCGTCTACAAAATTCACCCGAGAAAAGACCAGATGCCTCTGGGGACCTGCATGTCTCCTTTTCCAGAAAGCACATTATAGCAAGGGAAAATATCAGATGCCCTTACAAACTAGCCAGAAAGAAGCTTGAACAGCAGTTTACCGTTACCCTGGGACTGTCGGTTTGAAGGGCTGTATCTTCTGGAAATACTTTTTTTTTTTTCTGCGGAAGGTAGAACCTGTTAGGGCTTCATATCTGTGGTGGATTCACACATGGTAGATTAAAATGTGGTGGGCTAGATTGGGGCTAAATACATTGTTTGAACCCAAGCAATTGTGTTACTTCAGTTTTATTAACCCTAAGTTAGTATGTTGTGTTGGCACAATTTAAAGCAGGACCAGAGCTGAGCCCTAAGCTGATTATTGGCAAAAGGATTTTTGAAGTTAGGTTCTGATAATGGATGACCAACCCCCATCATATAAATATTTTTAGAGGGCCATCACATCCACTCTCTTTCTCCTAAGAGTTGTGATGTACACAAGTAGACGCAGGAGTTCACTTAAGAACATATGTCCATATTCCTTTCAGTAAAACAAAAAACGGGTAGAAGATCTTGGACACTGAACCCTTCTCCCACTAAACCTATCAGCACTACTTTTTAAAAAGGGGGTTATTTATATATATTTTTTGCCTTTGATGATGAAGGCTGGAGTTGCAATACGCTATACCACTTTCTTCAGCCTTTGGTGTGAAAAGGGCACCATCCGCTTCGCACGAGAAAGGGAGCACAGATGGTGTGCACCAGTGCTTCTCCACCTTGGCAACTTTAAGACGTGGACTTTGGCTCCCAGAATTCCCCAGTCAGCAACCTGGCTGGGGAATTCTGGGAGTCAAAGTCCACATCTTAAAGTTGCCAAGGTTGAGAAACACTGGCATGGATAAGCCAGTGCCGCCCTCTTGTCAAGAGACTCCACTTCCACATTTGGTGGGATTTCCCCCTTGGTTTTCTTGTATCTGTCTGGTTTCAGCTTTCCAAGGGGGAAAAATGGTTTTGCTTTGACACAGCCAAGAATAGACTGACTTTGCTGGTTCTCTTTATTATTTACATTTTTTTTTTGGAAGTGATTCTAATTATATTCCGGCTGGCTTTTGACTGATTTTAATGACACAAAAAGAAAAGAATCCTCATCTTATGTATCGTCACATTGCCAGGCTACAGTCCTGCTTTGGGGCAGGGGCCCGGTGTGCCTGTTTCCCTTCAGCTTTGCTGATTTTCATTCTGGCAGGGAGAACAGTGCCATAGGCTCTATAACTGCTGATGGATGTGGCCAGACAGTGCTTCCCTTTGCATGAACATTCTTCTGAGAAGCAGGGGGTGCCTGTGGTTTCAGGCCTTTCCCGTCAGCACACGTTCTAATCTCACACGCCCTTCGGATCCTGATCTCTCAACCGCCCTATTGGCAACCTTTGGCCATTCCTGCTCCATCGGGCTACCGAAGCCCTTCCAGGATGATAAAGCGGAGAAGAGAAAGGAGACCAGGTCAACATAATGAGCAGTCCTGATAGCCTTTTGTTTTGCTTAACTTTTAATGCAAAAAACCCCAAACAAAACAAATGGCACTACCCAACTCCTGTAGGGAGTTTTGTTTTTTTTTTATACTGTAGTTTTAAAATAATTCAACTGGTTTACTCTTCAAGCCTTCCAATTCTTCATTTTAAGTTTGTTTCTTAAAATATGGAGAGCGAGACCATAATCGCTATGTTATGGCCAGGAGGAAGGTGGGGAAGAGAATCCTTTCTTCACTCCTTTCTCTTCCCTTAAGGAAGATACTAAAACAAACAAACAAACAAACATCCAGCCCGACGGAAAGGGAGACCAGACAGTCACACTGCTGAAGTGATATGCCATCTAGACTCCTGTAATATTTTTTTTCAAAAAAGTATGAACATCAAACATACACACACACACACACACACACACACACAAGCCAGTACGGTATGGATTCCCAGAGTGCAGAGTAAATTGTAGGTGTGTCCTGCCTGCTGAGCCCAATTCTCCCAGCGTGTAACCAGACCACCCATACTTAAACATCCAGGTTATCAATTCTGTATTCAGAGGGCAGGTAGTTATTGGATGATCTGTCTGCTTAGTTCCTGGTTTCTCCCTGTACATGTCTGCACGTGCATAAAGCGTAAGCAATTCCTAGAAATCTTGTAACAACCAAGGGAAAAGAAAAACCACCGGAGAAGGTACAAAAAGGAAGAGCCAAGAATCCCGTTTTTGAAGCCGCAAATAGGCCAATAGCTTAGGGAAAATAAATGTTTAAAAAACACAATACATTCCAAAGAAGGGGGGTGATGTGGAATTGGTGACTTGATTGATCAAATCAGGGCGCTTTGTTTTTCGGCCCGTCAAAAAAACAAAAGGCTAAGAAAGTCAGTAAGTGACACACAATCTCCCTTCCTGTGGTGCGTAATAACTAAAGATCCATAAGGTAGCTCTTGCCTTAAGGTCATTCTCATCCAGTAGTTATATTTCCAGTAGTTGGCTCACTTTGTTTCTGAGACAAACAGTCTAAGAAGTGCCATTTCAAACCTGGGTCTACAGACTGCCATCACTCTACACCAGGGTTTCTCAGTGTTGGCAACTTTAAGACGTGTAGACTTCAACTCCCAGAATTCCCCAGCCAGTGGGGAATTCTGGAAGTTGAAGTCCACACGTCTTAAGGTTGCCAACATTGAGAAACCCTGCTCTGCACAGAGTGATAACAGCAGTGACTTGTTTCCCTTTCACTAGGCTGGTGAAATTCTGACTCTCCCTTTTCCAACAAACAATCATCCCTACTGGAAAGCACAGCTTGCTCTTTCTCCCTGGAGAAGGTGACAATTTAAAAATTATCATCAGCAGTTGTGCGAACTTACCTGAAAGGCTGTAAAAAAAAAAAGGGGGGTCAAGCAAATAAAAAAGATAGAGATGAACAATCAATCAGCATGACAGGATGGCTTGCTGACTAGTCCTCCAAGACTACAATCTCTACATTATGGACCTGATGCTGATGTTCATCAACCTCAGCCACCACCTTCTCCTCAGTCCTCAATTCTGTCCCCAAAATCACAGCTTTCCCCCCAGATTCCTCAGTCTCAGCTTCTGGATCAGGTGCCGGGTCTATTTCTATGATAGTCTGTCCATCCTCTGCAGTGCCCTCAACAGCCTGGATGCTAGAAGTCAGGCCAGACTCCATGGCCACCAGTTCCACAGGATTCACCACAGTGGCCACGTTAGCAAGAGCCCCACTGTCCTGCATCGCTGCCGAGCTCAGCAGGGCCAAGCTTGAGGATGGGTGAAGTGTCACTGTATCAGACGAGCTGGTTTTGGAGGAAGAAACCACAGTGGCATAGCGGAAAAGCTGGGAGCCCGAGGGCAATGTGTGGACAGTCACTGGGCTAGAGCCCTGGCTGATCGTGGCCATTGGAATGTTGCTAACAGAAAACTGCTGTCCCATGGGTGCAATGGTGATGGGCGAGATGACGGTGAACTGAGGTTGCTGAATGGGGGCCGAGGGGCTTAGAACTGTGGCTGAAGCTGGACGTTTCAACCGGGGCCTTTTGGGAGGCTTTGGAGTGCTGACTGGCATCAGGACCACATTCTGAATGGATGGGTTCCTGGCAAGCTTCTTCTGCTCTTCTAGTTGGCGATCTAGTGCTGCAAGAAGTATTTATGGGATAGTCTAGTCAAGGAAATGCTTTTGAAATTGTCATACAAGCAGCATGAAAGACAAGTGGAAGGAACAAGTATTTTCATGGAGGTAGGAAAACAATTTCTAGGTATAATTTTCAGTCATTTCTGCTGCTGTCAAAAGAACAGAACGATGGATGGAACTGGCTGTCTCAGGTGGATAACTCCCATTATTTACAGAATAAAAAAGGCTGGGATGGAGAGGGGAAACTACTTTCCCTCCCCAAATACTGCGTAACCCCACCTCAGAACTGCAGACAACAGCAGCTTTAATATTAAAACAGCATCATATGAAAGCTCCCAGACCTGCAACATGTACTGAAACTGCCAAAAATATTACAACATGATAAATGCTATATGGAGACAGCAAAAATGCTGGTCAGAACACAGCTAGTGCCTCATGGGAAAAGATAAAAGTGTATTCAGTGCAACTAAGAGTAATACTTTTGATAATCATAAAGAATCTGCTCTATTTAATAACATAAGGAAAATATAAATGCCCAAATGTAAACATTAGTAAAAAAAAGAACAACAGTTATGCATGTTGTACAAAAGTGCTTAATTTAGGACCAATTTAGGATCAGCTGTGAGAGTGGAATATATGTGTTTTAATGTTAATAACATCTGGAGGGCTTAGCCTCCTCACCAAAAGGGCAAATTTGAGGGAGGAAGAATGTATTCCACATAGCAAAGCAACAAAGGCACATTTCTTGCACAATTAATTGATGAGCTAAGAATGTTCCACTTTCAAAATTACCTGCAAGAGTATTAAGAAATTGCTCCTCTCCCTGATCTGTTTGACTCTTCCTGTTATCCAGCACTCTTTTCACTGTATCCATCAGACCAAAAGTATGAGCGACATTATTTAGGACAGCAGCATCTACAGGGAAATATTCACAGATATTGATTAATATTCTAAATGGGATTCGATTCCCAGGCAGAAAGACCCTGAGCTATTCCTGTTTGCTCATGCAGGGTTACTTAACACTTTGGTAGCATCTGCATGTGGTCTTGATTATGCAAGATGCACCTATAACAGCCATGGAAACTGACACTAAGAGGAGAATTATTAACAATAAAAAAGGTGAGGAAAAGACTTATGATAATACTATCTCCCTGAATCTTGAACAACCTTCTTGCTCAAGCATTCCAAAGCAGGAACTGTTGATGCCCTCTGCCCAATTCAGTCTGCAAATAAGGGTGCAGGGGAGACTACAGCAGAAGTTTTAGAATCAACGTATGCCAAATGTATTATTAGTATGCAAATTACAATGAGCAATTTTGTAGGAAAAAATACATATACAACGTCCTGAAGTATTTTTTCCCTTTAGCCTCAGGGATGGAACTTTCCTGGCATCACACTTTGATATATTTTCAGCATCAGGCAGATCTCCTTCCTCTTCCCCCCCATCTCTATTTTTTTTTTTATTATTATTATTATTATTATTATTATTATTATTAGCAGCAGCAGCAGCAGCAGCAGCAGCAGCAGCAGCAGCATCATCATCCTCTGGCCATTCTA